TATTTGACTTTATGGCCTTGTCATGTGCCATAAGCAGAAAGTATGCACATTTTCTTCATTGTTTGAAGCTGTTAGAATATGAGCATTTGTTTTGTATAATTATGTTTTGTTTTGTTTTTTGTCAAATGTTACCTCTAAAATAGGATTTATGAGGATTTCACTGTGGCACTGTGGCCCCAATGTGTCACTTGGCATGTTTCTCTCCTCCTTTAAAAACGTTTAATTGTTGAAATTAGATCCAAGTCAACAGGTGATCTGCCTTTGTTATTCATTCACTTATCTAGTACTGCAGCTAACAGGGATTTTCCTGATTGATCAATTAATCTTAAAGTCTATGAAACAAAAGAGAACAGTAAAAAGAACTATCTCCATCACAGATTCAGTTTAACCGAATAAGACAAGGACACTGAGAAAACCCTCACATCTGAGAGCCTGGATCCGTCAAAACCTTTGACTGTCTTGCTTTAAAAATGGCAATGACAACTTGATCGACTTATCAGTTGATCAGCTAATCGTTGCAGCTCCACAGCCATCCACCCGTCGTGACCTGAACTATCATCCATTCATTCATTCATTCATTCATTCACCTGTGCCCAAACATTTCTGTGGCAATTAGTTCATGAATCAATTAGTCGATCAACAGGAAAGTGATCACTAACTGTTTGATGATCGTGTTTAGAGTAAAAGACAAACATTCCTCACCTCCGGTTGGTCAGTTGTGAGGATTTGCTGCTTTTCTTTGTCGTATGTCAAAGTGAATTCAGTATTTTTTTATATTTTGATCTGTTGTTCGAACAAAGCAGGCAGTTTGATGACACTGCCTGGCGCTATAGGAACAGAGATTTTTGGTCTCTGGTGCTTTATCGACAAAACGACTCATTGATTAATCAAGACAATAATTGGCGGATTAATTGATGAAAAAAACAATTAGCTGCAGCTCTATAATCTCCTGTGCCTGTGTGTCCACTGACTCAAGAGGAGAAGAAATAAACAGACTAATGTGGCAACATAATCTCAGCTCAATGGTCCACTTCCTACTTTGAAGCTTTCAGTCACACCTTACAGGCTTCATTCAGTGGTATTTTGTTACATATACTGTTTCCAAAGATCAAGAATGAACTTGGTAATAGAATGAACTTGGTAATAGTAATAATCAATGATTTTCCTCACCACGCTCTCATCAGTGGAAGTGTCCTGGTCTGTGACACACGGTCAGGGCAACACCTGGCAAATCTGCACCTGCAGGTATTGGAGTGAGCGCTGGTAGTTTGTAACAAGCACACTGAGCGCAGCGGGGG